CCCCAAAACCCCAAAACCCCAAAACCCCATAAGACAATTTTAGTACAATTAAAAGCTAATGAATGTATTACTGGTAATCATTATAATTAATCGTTAATAAGGTACTTAGAGTTGTTATAGTTAATCATTTCATTCCACAAAGAGAAGTTTGATAAGTGAATAGAGGATCTTTGTTCTCTCCCTATCTACATCAAGGTCCTACATTTCTATTTGGTAATTTAGAGTCATTTGCTCAGCAATATGACAGCATGCTACAATCATATCTTCATCATTATCTACAGGTACACCTTCCACGCTTCCGTCTATTTTATCATCATGGAATGATTAGTCTTAAAGTTTAGCAGCTAGTTCCATCATATGCAAAACAGTGTCAGATATATCGTGATCTAAAACGAAATTTTAAACATGAATTACACTTACTGTCAGTTTCTCTTTCTTTGTCATAGAGATCTACCTATTACATATTGTTATTGATCTGAACTATAAGACATCGCTTATCGTTTACTTCATCAATGAAAAAAGGAACCATTACATAGTCATATTTCCCAAAATATTGTAACTAATTCAAGCATTCCTCTAAGTAAGCATCTTTGTTAAGTTTCTTAGTAAATGTTGTTGTATAATAGAGAATCTTTTTTGGGTTTTCACCTTGAATCTCCTCTGGAGATTTTTTGGTTTTGGCTTTGTTGTAGTTAAAAGCGCTTTACTTTACTAGATTAATTTTTTCAAGGACTCGGAGGTATACATTTATAATGTTGTCCTTATAAAGTTTCTTTTATGCAAAATCAATAAGATCTTGTTTGGTAATGCTCATCTTGAAGTATTCATAAAGTTCCCTAATTTAATACGGGTAATCATTGAATTCTGGGAATTTTAGATTATGAGATTTTTTAATAGTTTCAAAAGACTTCTCCAAAAATTGCATCTCAGGTTCACCTAGAGGCTAGAAGAAATTTTTTGCATAATTCACGAATCTGAGACCGAACATTTCCTTCAAATAATGCTGGACATCAGTGAATCTGTTGAGGTCTAATAATATTTATAAACAGATTAGGAAAATTACTATATAGTGACCCTCTATAAGAACCTAAAGTTTCATTAGTATCTCTACCAGAAGACTTCTTATTAAGCAGTTTCGACATATTCAATGTATCTTAAGAAATTTAATTAGAAGGATTTTCTAAAGGACCTTAAAGAGTAAACTCATTCAAATCTTTGCTGCTTCCTTTCAGGGAGGTATCATTTACATTAACTTAAGATTATGGCCTTGAATACTACTTTTTGTCAACCTTTAAGCTCGATTGAGGGACATCATCATATTTATAGATAACACTCTCTTGTTCATCTTAATCAGGCTAAGCATTGCCTTTCGTCATTGCTTTCTTTTCTTCCCTAGCACTCCTAATTTGAATTATAATATTATAAATTATTCTTACTCTTAAGAATATGACTTTAAAAAATCATTAGGTAATAAGTTAGCCAGACTACCCCGAGCACTGTTTCTTGCCAAGCCCTCTTGCTTATGCTAAGTGCTACTTGGTTTGTATAGAGTTGGATTGTCGTTAATTAAAGGTTTTGAAGTCAGCCTAGTTTAAATTGGTAACATTCCTCTTTATTTTCGATCGAAGATGTAAATAGTAAATTTTTCCCGTAGCTAAACAGGATTCAAGAATATATACTTGAATTCCTTCATTCTTTCTGTGAATTCCTTTTCTCTTAGAAATTGATTTTTGTAGTGAGGGGGGAATAGGTACATGCCAATCATATCCTTAGCGAAGTCTTCTAATACGTCTTTTTCATGAGAATACATTTAAATTAATTCATATAAGTCATGATCATAATCAGCAGGATTATATCTCTATGTTTAAATAAGGACCTCACTCACAACCACACTGGGGATAAACAAAAGTGTTTCAACAGCCTGGATAAGCTTCTGTGTATTGTTGACAACGCATTAATTGGAATAATTTTGAACAATGTTAAATATTAATCTTGTCTTGTCCTTATTATCCCCACAGCAGTAGAGAATGCAAAAAAGAGTTACTTTATTGAAATCGTAAACTTGCTAGGTCTCATTCATAAAGAAATAGTTATTCGTCATAAACAGCTTTATCTTTGACTGATTTTGCTTTGGTAAAATTGTTCTGAATACTCTTACCAATTCCTTCTTCTATATTTTTCCTAGACTCTAGATTGCCATCAGCTCACTAACTATCGACATGATTTCAATGGACTTCATTCCTGTTCCCTCTTCTTCATTTTAACAATCCTCCATAATCTTAGCTAGATTTTTAAGATTGTATTTCTACGCGTCTTTGAATAAGTAGTCAAGTTCCTTTCTCTACTTTGAACAGCAACATTACATGATAAAATCCATGTTTGATTAGACTTTTTTCTATAAAATTTAATTTATACGACTGTTGATCTAAATAACTGTATTAGGGGTTTTGGGGTTTTGGGGTTTTGGGG